GGTCTCTGAGCCCTGGGTCCTGGGCCAGGATGTGGCCCGGAGGGAAGTGGCAGGCCCAGCCGGACGATGCAGTTAACGGGGCCCACTGTGACCCCTCTTCCTCCCCGGCCTTACTCAGGCTTCACAAAGCTCTCCGTCTAAGCAGGACCAGAGCCATCTGCCTCGTGTCAGATGCGGAAACCGAGGGTCGGTGAGAAATGACAGCCCGTCACACAGTATGACCCTGTGCCAGGCCGAGCAATGTGGCCTCCTGGCTCCCAGGCCAGGGCTCTGTCCATCAGCCAGGCACCAGGGCGAAGTTTGCTGCCCCCCATGGGGTTGGACCTGCCCCCGAGTAGAATGCCAAGGGCACAGTCTGGGCATTTCTGTCTGGGCCGGGGAAGCCACGGAGGTGGACAGCCTCCCTAGAGGCCACAGGACTCTGGTGTCCAGCAGCTGGCCTGCCACCCTCTCTGGCAGAAGCCAGGGCCTCGGATGCAGGCAGCCGGAGCGGCTGGGGATCCGGCCGCGGTGCAGACTAGTGCATCATCTGGGAGGTGCTGAACGCCTCCTTCTCGGCCTCCGCCTCGGCCTCCGCGCGACACCTCTGGGAGCAGAACCACAGGAACAGGAAGAAGCCTGCAAGCAAAGGGGGGGTCAGGGAGCGCCTGGCGGGGCATCGTGGCCTCTCCCGGGATCCTCCTTGGTCGGGTGAGTTGGGCCCCCCCGAGGCCCTGCACTCATTCTCGGGATTCCTCGCTGCTGGAGACCAGGACGGGTGGAGCATGGAAGCGGGAGGACCGGTCACGGCTAGTCCAGAGGGAGCCTTCGTGCAGGTTGGGAAGCGGCACCTCCTGCTCTGGGAGGACGCAGCCCCCAACCAGCTCCTCCTGGGGCTGGACGTCAGCCCCGGACTCGCCCCGGACCTGAGCCTTTCCGCGGTGAACACCTACCAGGTGTGCACGCCACCGCCCCCTCCCCCCCCAGGCCGCCCCCAGGACCCACCGTAGAGAGAGTTGAAGATGGTGAAGAGGAAGAGCTGGGGCAGCAGGAAGACGCCAAAGGAGAAGAAAGCCAGGGCCCAGGTGGTGCCCAGCAGCACGGTGAGGCCGAGCACGGTGACGGTGTCCCTGCAGGCCCGCGAGCCTGGCGCCTCCTCCCGCGCCTTCAGTCTGCGCAGGGCCCACAGCGCCCAGGCCAGCACCACCAGGTTGAAAAGGGTCGTGAGGCCCCCATAGCCCATGACCAGGACGTGGTGCACCCCAGGGCTCCGCACCCAGCATCTGCAGGGGAGGGCGAAGGTCAGGGCGCTGTGGCTCTGTGGGGCTGGGGAAACCGGGGGCTCTTGGGCCTCGGGACTGCCTCTTGAACCCGGGCCAGGGTCTCAGCTCAGGCCTCCTGTTCCCTGCCTGACTGCACACGGGTGAAATCCTGGGCGGGCTTTCCAGCCAGGCCCCCACGACAGGACCGACCTGCCACCTGGGCCCCTGCCTGCAGCCCCCGTGCCTCCTTCTCAGCCCTGCGCCTCCCCAGGGCACCTTCATGACCTGTGTTGCCTTTGCCCCGGTCAGACACGGTGTCACATACTTTCGAGAGATTAGCCCAGTCAGTCCTCATGATGACTCTAACTGTGAGGCAGGTCTGGAATCATTCCCATTCTACAGATGAGGAAACTGAGGCTCTGGCTTAGGAACACACACTAGTAAGAGGCAAAGATGGGACTTGAAGCCCTGTGGTCTGAGCCCAGAGCCTGTGCCCCTGACTGTCAGCATGAGAACAGCCAAGTAGAGGAGGTGGTTGCAGCCACCTCAGGGCTCCAGGCACCCACTTCCAGAAGACACAGCCAGGGCCCTGCCTGCGGACACCCTGTTCAGGGGCCCCGGGAGCCTGTCACAGCCCAGCGCGCACTCACATGGACGTGTGCTGGAGGCCCGTGCCGTTCCCCTGGCTGTGGGAGAGAGGGATCGTGTGGCGGCCGTAAGCTGAGCTCTTGATGGCAAGGAGGAGCAGCACCAGGAGGGCTGGGACCCCTGAGGAGGGGGACAGAGGCTCAGCATCTGCCAGGAGACCCCAGGGACGGACCGGTGGTAGGTCCCTGTGGCTGCTGAGACAGAGCTCCAAGGGAAAGGGGTGGGTAGAGAGAGTCTGTTCTGAGCCCCCAGCCCGTCCTGTGATCCAACTTCAGAGCAATCAGCCTGGTGATCTCAGAGAAGGCTGTTCTCCCAGGTGATGGGGGTGAGGGCTCTGAGGTGGGACAGGCGTGGCAGCAGTGGTGGCCACACTGGGAGGTGGTGACTGGGAGCTAATGGGAGAGAGGGTTGAGGAACAGGTCATAGAGGGGCTAGGATGGTACTAGAGACAACAATGACAGTGGTACCCGAGATAGTGGTGAAGGTGAGGATGAGGATGGTGGCGATGATGGGGGGGGGGTTAGTTAAAATGATGGTGGAGGTGATAGAGGTGTTGGGGGTAGAGGTGGTGGAGGAAGAGATGGTGGAGGTGATGGAGGTAGAGATGATGGAGGTAAAGGTGGTGGAGGTAGAGGTGGTGGAGGAAGAGATGGTGGAGGTGATGGAGGTAGAGATGATGGAGGTAAAGGTGGTGGAAGTGATGGTGATGGAGATGATGGTGGTGATGGAGGTAGAGGTGGTGGAGGTAATGGTGGTGGAGGTAGAGGTGGTGGAGGTGGTGTTGGTGGTGGAGGTAGAGGTGGTGGAGATAGAGGTGGTGGAGGTAGAGGTGGTGGAGGTGATGGTGGTGGAGGTAGAGGTGGTGGAGGAAGAG